GAGTTCAAGGGAAGCCTACACTTCACAGCAAGAACCTGCCTAAAAATAAATAAGTAAATAAATAAATAAAATAAAGGAAAGAAAGAAAAAAATAGATATATCAAAAGAAATTTGTGTCTTGAGAAGAATGGTATATAGAAAAGAAAACTCTTTAACTTATATCATTCACTGTCTACCTCTAAAAAACGGGAATCACCCTTTAACAGAAAGCTCACTTGAATTTCAAGTCATACTTGCCTCTAGGTAGTGATGACAATATGGTCCTAATGATCATATTGAGAGCTTGGAGGCAGGGACTTTTGAGTCAATTCTTAGCTTTCTCTAATCTTTTTTTGTGGGCAGCACACATGGATCTCTTAAAAAATTAGAAGAAAGCCTGCTATATTACCAAAAGGCTCATGACATCCTAAGACCTAAGATTCTTTCTAATGCTGCTAAAATGTTACATTATAAAGGACAAACTTCTTTGATGAGGTGGCATATTAATATAACATTGATCATCAACATCTTCAGGGCTCTATTAAAAATTTGGTTATAGGAAGAGCAAGACAGAGTAAAGAAAAAGTGTATTTTGATTTGGAAGGGAGTAAATTAGAGTCTGAATTCTCTGAAACATTTCCTTATTTACTTTAAAGACAATTTGAATTATTTCTCGAATTATTCTTATAGCATCTTACAAAAGACCATATTAAAATGCTAAATTAGTAATATAACATAACGAAGGGAACATATTCTCAGTTCTGTATCTCTCATATTAAAATTGATGCCCTCAAGGAGAGAAACTGTGCCTTCATATTGCCTGTCACTTCCCAATTTACAGCCCAGGTACTGGAAGATGCAGTAAATGCTGACTAAACCAAATAAGGCTTTATTCTACATCATTCTAAAAATAAGTTGAAATTAATTTCTTTTAAAAGACAAATTGGATATTTTCAGTAAAATAATTTCACTCACTTTTCTATGTTCAGAAATAAAAATGGAGAAATAAGATACTGCCATGACAAAGAACAACTGAAGAAATTCATGACCACCAAACTGGCTCTACAAAGGGTTCTGAAGATATTCTAGAAAGAGATAACAAAGACCGCAATTCCAAGAACACTAATAGAAAGAAGCCACTGGACAGTGCAAGCAATTAAACTGTGAGGAAAAAACAGGAAGTCAACTGCAGAAAAATAATATGACAAGGATAAGGCAATACATATCATTTATAATAATCAATGTAAATGGTCTCAATTCACCAGTCAAAAGAAACAGCCTGGCAGAATGGATCAAGAAAGAAGAATCAAAAATATGTTGCATACAAGAAACACACTTATTTCACAAAGAAATTTATAGACTAAAAGTCAAAGGATGCAGAGCAGTACACCATGTTACTGAAACCCAGAAAAAAGTAGGGGTATCTATTCTATTTGCAGATAGTGTGAACTTCAGGCCAAAATCAATCAAAAGAGATAAAGAAAGTCACTACATACTTGTCAAGGGAAAACTCCAAGAAGAAGAGATAACAATCATAAATATATATACACCAAATACAGGGGTAGCCAACTATATAAAACAAATAATAATGGACAAGAAAAATCAAATAAGCAGTAACACAATTGTAATGTGGGAACTTAATGTTTCTTTCTCTTTCTTTCTTTCTTTCTTTCTTTCTTTCTTTCTTTCTTTCTTTCTTTCTTTCTTTCTTTCTTTCTTTCTTTCTCTTTCTCTCTTTCTTTCCCATTGAGCACCGTAATCTGGGCAGGAACTTAGAACCCACTACAGGGGTTACAAATAACTGGCATCATGGGAAGAGTCGGTAATATAGGACCAAGAAAGATTCATCCAAGGAATGTAGGGATGGTTCAACATACAGAAATCCATAAATGTGAAACACTATATCAACAGAGACAAAAATTTCCTATGATTCATGTCATCATTATGTGTATCTAAATTGTATCGATAAAATTAATTAAAATAAAATAAAATAGGAATTGTTACTGGGGCAGTAGTAAAATCACATCACTGCCATAGGAGAAGCCCTATTTGGAGTTAATACTGCCTAGTGAGTGAGAAAGCTAAAGAATGAGAAAGATTACTTAGAGCATGACTAGTAGTCATCAATTATGTGAAAAATATTAAAGACAAATTAATATTCTGAATTTTGATTAGCCAGTATTACTAACAACCAATATTACAAATAATAGCCAATATTACTAGGTGATTCTAATCTAATGGCATTTTAAGATACTCCCAATTTTTCTGAGAATGTCAAAGTGACTAATGAATGTTAGTAATTCTTTCCCCAAAATACATATGAAAACTTTGAAAAATAGGAAACAAAATGAGAGGGAAATGCAATCTGACTTGTCCCATATCAGTGGTTTACCTGGAACAAACACCCAAGTTTGTGTATTTTCTGTTGGAATTGTTTGAACCTCTGATTTCCAATATGCAAATATGTTTTCAAAGGAAATACATACCAGTATAACAAGAGCATGGTTCTGAGAAACTTTAATATTTTCAAACACAGCATGTTGGTATACAGTATAATGTTGAATAGAAGCAGTGTTTTGAGTATTAAGCATATTATAAATCAAAGCTTACAGTTAGCAGAGTATGGTTAAGTTATCATATTCATTTAGTCATTTCTTTGAGCATTTTTAACAAGCTAGTCTGTAGCTTTCACTAGACAGGGTCTGAGGAGTTCCTGGAAACTGAGATAAGGAACCTAACTCACTCTGCACGTAGAATAGGTTGACAGGTTTACTGATTCCCATCACGGATAAAATGAATTTTCAGAATTAGTCAGTAAGAAACACAAGAAGGGTTTTATTCAGCAGAGATTCAAAGTTACACACTCAAAGAAATGAAGTGTGAGGTCTCAAGGGAGGTACATCATTTACCAGAATGAGGAACATTTATGCTTCTTTTGAGGTAATAGAAACCTGGAAAGACTGTCCACCTCCTAGAAAAGGACTGGCCCAAATAAATAAACCGTATGAGTCCAGTTTATTTCTTTCTTTTTAGATGGATAATTTAAGCATTCTTTGCATTCTTTCAACCTGTTCCTTTATCTTGGGATCAGGTTTCTTTTCTTTACTTTTTAAAATGAAGGCAATTCATGAACTTTCAGTATTCCTGAGGAATTCTGAATGTGATGGGTCAGTCTAAGCAAGGGAATGCTGCTATGGATTGCGTTGGGGAACTTGAATTGGCTCCTGGAGGTTGTAGTCCTTTTAAATCTGCAATAGTGAATCTGTCCACACTTCCACCAACAGTGGAGAAGAGTTTCTTTTCCCCCCACAGCCTCTCCAGCATTTGTTATTGTTTGATTTCTTGATAACAGCCATTCTTTCTGGGGTGAGATGGAATCTCAGTGTTGTTTTAATTTGCATTTCTCAAATGAGTAATGATGTTGAACATTTTTTCATGTATTTATTCTCCATTTGTATTCCTTTATCTGAGAAATGTGTATTCATCTCAGATGCCTATTTTCATACTGAGTCTTTGAATTTAAGGGGCTGATTTTTTAATTCTTAATATGTTCTAGACAGAAGTCCTTTGTCTGAGGGACAGTTGGTGAAAATTTTTTCCCAATTAGTGAGTGTTCTTTTTACTCTGCTGGTGATTTCTTTAGATGTGCAAAAACTTTTCAGTAAGATGAGATCCCAGTTGCTGATTCTTTGAAGTATTTCCCGTGCAAATGGGTTTTTGTTCATGAACTCTCTGCTTACCTCTGTGTCTTCAAGATTTTTACCTACTTTCTCTTCCAGTAGATTTAATGTTTCTGTTTTAATATTGAGATCTGTGATCCATTTTGACTTGAGTTTGGTGCATGGTGATAGATGTGGGTCTAGTTTCAGGTACAACCACTGTGGATTTACTGGAGATTCCTCAGTAAACTAGGATTAGAGGCCCCATTCAACCCAGTTGTTTCCCTTTTGGATATTTCCCAGTAGAACCAAAATCCTCATACCACATCGATGTATATGTACCCATGTTTATAGCAGCACAATATATAATAGTTAAATTGTGGAAGCAACCCAAATGCCCATCAACTGAAGAATGGATAAAAAAGGTATGGTATTTTTATATATTGGAATATTACTCAGGTATAAAGAAAAATAAATTCGAGCCTTTTATAGGCAAATGGATGCAACTAGAGACAATACTCATAAGTGAAATAAAGAAGACCTGCATGTGTAAGCACCATATTGTCTCACTAGTGTATGAACCTGAAAGAGTAAATAAAATCTAAATGGTACATAGATATTGTGAAAGGGAAAGAAACTGCTCAGAAGGAAAGAACAACTGAGATGAGGGAAAAGAGAAAAGAAAGAAAGAAGGGAAAAATATGCATATATGTACACACAAGATAGCTAAGATAACTGTACTACTAATTCTATTACTTTATGGAAAGGGACAGTTAATGTTTAACTGTTTGATCAATCTTACATACCTATATTTATTTAACTGAGTAACCAATAAACAGCCATTGCTAATTTACTATCACTTGTCTAAAATTCTATTGCTTTTATTGTTTTTGTGTTGTTTTCTTTATGTCTATGTTTGTTAACATATTTTTATTCTTTTATCTTTAAAATAAAACAAATAATAGGTATACAATATTATTTTAGTTCTGACTTCCTTGTTTGCTCTTTACCTATCTTCTGTTTATTCTACAGTACCTCAATAACTAAAATACATGTCCTCCTCTCACCCGGTTTTACAATCCAGATGGAGAAACAGGTATAGAGAAGCAATGCCGCAAAGAACCTGCTACACTAATTGTGAACAGTTGCCCAAATCCAGATTTTAAGAGAAAGGGTGTTCATTCCCCAGTGTTGATTTGTAGGAAATTGGTGTCTTACACTTGGTAGATGTGCAACTCATGTTCATGGTATGCAGTAACAAGAATGCAAACTCAAAAGATCTGACAACATTCAATGAAGCATATAATTGCATTCAAATGCATAATTTAAAAAAAGAATAATACTAACGTGCTGTGCTCTTACCCCTATTGTTCCAAAACTTTCTGGCTTTCTTCTCATCTTTTTCTTGCACAGATGGGTCCATATCCACTTGATCAGGTACCAGAGAGACTTGGGGCTGGGAATGACATTGAAGGGAGTGGGCAGAGTACCTCCTTCTTCAAAATAACTCATCCAGAGCTTGGTTCGAGCAAATTTCCATTCTATATCTGCATGGTCCTGAACAGGAATAGATGATAACCACTGACAGGTTTCTTAATTAATATGGTGAAATAAACCTCACACAGAGCCTGAAGCTGATTAGGAGTGGTTCTTGGGACATTAATTAAATTCCTTATGAAAACACCACTAGCTTTCCGAGACAGCCATCTAAACATTTCAGAGGATGGCTTACTCTGCAAGGATTCGCAGCACTTATGCCACTTTTCATCCTCCTTTCTTCAGGGTAACAGAAATCTAAAATAAGTTCATGTTAAAGTGACAGTGATAATTAATTATGATTCAAAAATGAGTCCTCACCTCTTGCATTGTAGATTCACATCAGCTCAAATTTATTAGGTCCTGGTCAAAAATCAGGGCTTTGCATATTTCTGGAGACCTCTCTCCCTGTTTAGGGGATTGCCACCTTTGCAGGTGGGCACACCTTAGCCTTCAATGCAGCCAGAGAAAGCCTTACTGTATATGTTTCCATGTGAATAATTTTTTTTTGCAGTGGTGGGGATTGAACCTAGGGCTTTGCACATACTAGACAAGTGTTCTACTGCTAAGGTACATCTCTACCCCGCATGTGAAAAATTCTTGCCCATCTTCTCACACAGAAATTCTTCTAATAATGGAGCACTGAAGCTTGCCATGGCATTGAGCCTTGGCATGACCTTGGTGGATGTCATCAAATAGGGGTCTAGCTAGTGGTTGCCCACCAGCCCAAGAATATATCACTCATCATTAGTTACTCACTTCACCTTATTAACATCCTGGGGGAGACTTCAAAGCATTTGTGGGAATGAGATATAAGGCAGTCTTTCCTTAAGTTAGCCATAAATCTGATTAAGTCAGACAATCTGGGAAGTAGAAGGTGGTAGATATTGGGCATACATGCAGTTTAACAATTCAAAATAGTTCACTGTAACAAATAAATTATTACAGAAGAGAATTTAGGTTTTAGTGTAGTAGAATAATCTTATACTATGGTCCATTCTAATATTCCTAAATTGTTGTGTGCATTGACAATTTGTATATATATATATATATATACAATAATGGACAGAACATATAGACAGAGGATCAATAAAGAAACAAGAATTGAATAATGCAATAGACTAAAATTGATATATATATATCACATTTCTAATCTGCCTGCCCCATTGGGGTTTTACTCCACACTGGATAGATTGTGCCTTGACAAGAATCTGCTTTCCTAGAGTATACATGGTCTTCATTTTTCTGAGCAAATTGTTTATTGTACAGATTGATCAGTAGAACTAAAGAGCCTATAGTTTCTATTCTCTTTCTTCTCCCCTGTTCTCATGATTTGTTTCTTTCCTCTGTCTCCCATTCTTTCTTGCTTCTTTCTTTTTTTTTTTTGTTACCAGCACTCGAACTCAGGACCTTGGGCTTGCCAGGCAGGCGCTTATGCCACTGAGCTATATCCCCCGCCTGTCTCCTTTTATTTCTAAACCAACTTACAGAATGCATGATTGTGCTGCATTAGCGAAGAAAATTAGATGTTGTACACAGTTTCCTGCGGCCATGGAGAGTGGAATTCAGTAAAATTAGTTCCAGGGAATGAAAAGGCAGTCACTTAAAGTGTTCGCCTGTGAATAGCTTAATTTATTGATTCCCAGGAAGTCACAAATTAAGGTTTATTCTGACATTCTTGTGTTCTTCTATTGCTACCACTAAGCCGGTGCTTCTTTGCTGATGTGGCATTCTGTGAGGGTCTGTAACGTAGTCCATAGTGCTAGAACATCCGGAGATAAAGGATGCTAAGCTGAGGAAGACTGGATCCCTCTTCCCCTACTCACCTTTTCACTTCTACTCAACATATAAAATTTAGTTTAAGTTTCATCTCTCTCTGGAAGTCTACCTCAACTCCAGCCAATCTTCAGCTGTTTCCTGTTTCCATCCCATGCCTCATTTCTCTCTTCACTTTCAGGACATTCTCAAAGTTCTCTTCTATATCATAATTTTTAAAATGTTGTCCTTGTTACATTAACGTTTTCTTGAGATCACACACTTATTTTTTGTGTCACTAAATGTTTGTATGTGATATGTCTGATATATGTTAGTGCACAAAAAGTATGTGACAAAGGAAAAAGTGCATGAGTGGGAAGGAAGAGGGCTTTAGATATGGCGTGCCTTGCAACTGTGAAATTGTCGTCTTGCTCCATGCTTCATGCTTACGCTATGCTTCACCACTTACTCTATGTCTCTGTGTTAGGAGTAGCAGGACCAAAAAATAAGTAAATTATTTTATTCTGGAGCAGGTGAGAGTAACGTGCTTGATGTGCCCATGCCCCAAGGAGGCTGCACCACAAGATGCTCTCAGGTGCGCCTATCTCAGATTCTCAGTGCTTGCTTTTTTGGGTCACACTAGTTTTAGCATGAGGGCTAATTAAAATGTGGAATTTGAAGATGATTTTTATCTCTGCAATAAAGTTACTGGGAAAAACACACTTCACAAAATATGCCTTACTACTCTTGAATAAAGTTCTCATCTTGATAAAATTGGGACAGTTGATGTTTTACAGGAACCAAATTGTTTGCAGCTTATTTGTATTTAGCTTGGTAATTAAAGGCTTTCTAATAGTTGTTCTTATTCTGGGAAATAGAATCCACCCTTGGGAACTGTATTGACTAGAGGGAAATAGAGCATCAGAAACAAATATAGTTATATGGAGACTAAACTTAGAAAAAACGATGTAGAAATAAACTTGAAGTGTGTAGGAGACTGCACAGTACACCATGTGTCTATTTGAAACTCTGAAAAGAAAGTAACTTAGCTTAATTTATTCATTAATTAGCAAATCCTTATTGGGTACACATTCTGTTGCCAAGTCTTTTTCTATCAACTAGAAATACTGCAAAGTATGTCAGTTCTGTCAAGGAGCACTACAAATTTTATTTAAACTTTTTATAGAGGCAGATTTTTCTTATAAGACATAAAACATCTGTCATTGACAAAAACCAGCATAAAACATGAAACTATATTATTTGTGTTTACTGATTCATGAGCTAAAAACCTCATGGCACATGACAATTCCTCTTACTATATCGAGCTTCTAAGATTGGAGGTAAAATCTAAATATGTAGATGTACAGAGAGAGTTACGAAAATGAAAATCTAGTGGCTTTTTCCCATGCTGGGTTTCTCTCTGGTCTATCTGTTGTATCTTGCCAAACTGACATAAATTTGCTTTTGTCAAGGTGGCATATGAAATATGCAGAGACTGCAAAGCCAGATGGGTACTGCACAGACTGTTTCCTATAGTGAATGACTCCTTTGAAAAATATATGTACTTTTATAATCATAAGTAACATGACAAATCCACATCACACATAGTCACACGCAGTGTGCTGCAGCTCAGAAATTTCAAACTAACTGTTTATAATTTCAATCTTTATCATCAATTGCCCACTGTATATTTCATTTCCTAGCGTAACAAAATGGAATATAGCTGGCAACAATGCATTCTGGGAGAAAAATTGAAGTAAAAATAGTACACTTACAGCAATTAGTTGGTAAGAATTATTCATCATAGCTATTAACATATTGAGTAGGACAACCAGAGAGATGACGTTGTATGTCCCAAACATGGTGGCACCAACAAATTCAGTGAATTCATGCTGTGCTTTCACATTGGTCACATACAGATTGATGAGCCCAAATATTGACCAAAACAGTGACTGGAGCGTCTCAAATAACCTGAAATAAAGATAAAATGACACCACTATCGAAATTGAAGCATTATGTGATAAAGTATGGAAATAGAACTCAGCACTATTATGCATATTTGATTAACTTAAAATGTATATCAAAAATACAATATTATGGACAATTAGAAAGTTAAACTTATAATAACTAAATAGTTAAAGAAACTATTTTAATCAAAGTAGCACAAATGGTACATTGAATTACCACAGATAGATACACTTCCTTTTCCTAAAAATATTGAAAAGTACATTCAGTTTCCTAGGCCACAGGGGCCTGGAGCCTTTTTTTGGATAAGCAGTAGGCCACAAATGATCTTTGTTTTCTCAAAAGGCTGAAGAAAATGTTAAAAAAAAAAAGACATATTTTCTGACATTAAGAAAATATGTAAAATTCATTCTAATATCCTTAAATAAAATTTTAAGAAACACATTCCCACTCCTCCATATGTACATTTCTGATAGTTTATTTGGGGTCAGATACAGTGACAAAAGTAGTGACATCTGCAAAAATATATTTCTCAAAGTCCAGAATATTTACTACCTATTCCTATTCATAGAAAGTTTGTCAATCTCTGTCCTGAGCCACTGATGGTTAGCTAATAAATGATAGGTCCTAAAGCTTAGACTTTGAAAAAAGTCATTTCTTTTAGTTTAATTTGTTTGGGGAAGATTAAAAGCAGTATCACTATTGTAGATTTCCAGCTTTATAATTAGCAGTGCACATTATACATCCTATAGGATGGTGAAGACTTTTCGAGTACTCAGATAATAAAATCTGATTTTTTTTATATATCAAGGCAGATTTTATTATTTCCAGCCAACAAACAAACTGATGAGTTTACTGAAAGTAAAATTACTTGAATTTACTGTGAAAAATGGGATAATCTGAGGAGTAACTAAACCCAACTGGAAAAGTATTTGTTTCCATAGGATTATTACAGTATATTAATACAATGTAATAAAAAGTAAGAGAGCTTATATTCTTTGAAAACAATTTTTAAAAGTTTATGTTTAAATTGCACTGAGAAAACAAAAATGTAAACCCTTTTATATCTGGCATGGCGACTAAGAAAAGATTTCATTATTTAGGGATATTAGCATTAGATTTAAATCATACTGTGGGACCAGGTTAATCATGGTTTTGAACAGCTGTCAGCCTCAGAGACCTAGTATTGTGCATACCGTTTTGTGCAATGATGGTTTTTGTGCAAGTCTCTGGAGATCCTCACACAGCGCCTCAGTGGATTAGGGCAAACCTTGCCAAGTGACTCAAGGAAAGACAATTCCGATGAGCCAGTTGCTCATGGGCAGGCCTAACCTGAATATGATCAGATTTCCTCTTTAGGAAAGTTTACTTTAGAAACACGAAGATAATGAGATAGTTTCCAAAAGCGTTTGAGATGACATAGTTGTATTATAGATTTAGGGTCATACCAAAGGTTTGAGATGGTACAAAGTAAGAGGCTGAGAATTAGTAGGAATTAGCCAAGTAATAAACATCAAGGTGGATTACACATGGAGTGGCTGACGCACATTAATGCTGACACACAGGGTAACAATTCCATGTGCCAACTTCTGCCCTGCTCAGGGTTACTTCCTGCCCTTGCTATCATCAGCCTTTACCTTGAGGTTCAGAGAGATTTAATTTTGTGCGTTATTCTTACAGTAAAGTGGCCACTACTTGAAGTAAATCACATAGTTTTAGCTTTTATAGTTAAAGGAATGTAACTAAATATTCCAAAATTGGCATTTAGGGTTGATTTTTTCCAAATTTGCTGCTTTAAAAAAAAGGAACCAATTTAATCACATTAGAACAATTTATTCTGGAAGATGAAATCTAATTTATATTTATTTTTGTAAAACTGATGAATGATACAATGGATTATTGAAAGCACCTAGTGTGCCGATCAAACTTAGCCAGACTCAGGTATGTCATGCAGTATGTGAGAACTGGATGTATTATTGGCAACTTAAATGTCAGAATGCAATTCAGTTAGAGTTAGTTGAATCTAATGCACTGACTAGAGAATGGTCACTAAGACTCACTCTTTGAAAATTTCCCAGTTAAAAGTAAATTTGGCCCAAGTGCATAAGCTTTATTTTTTTATTTTTAGTAACTTTCTGGCATCCTTTGGATTTAATGTGTTCACTTCTTGGCCTTTTGGCTAAGATCAAGTGGATTTAACATGAAAAAATTTTCCTTTTCATTTTGAATGGTACAAATTCTCAGTGTGACTATAGAAATATATTTTAGGTGGTTTTTACTTGACATGCAGAGTAGTTTAGAAAAACTTTCAAGTTAAATAGCACAAATTGCATAATGAATTATATAAAAAATTAATGCATACATTCCATGACAGTTGCTTTTCAAGTGTTCTATTGAAATCAATGATGCAGATTAAATAGACTGTTATGACTGAATAGTACATATTTGCTACTGTCTAAGAAATATTGGTAAATTCTTTGAGAAAATATTTACTGACTTTTTAAAGAACAATTTAAAAAGGAAAAATTCAAACTAAAAATGGAATTTTCTGGTTAACTACACCTGTTATTCTTCCTTTGCCCTTCTTTCGGTGGAATGTGTCAGTGGTGAAATTTGTAAAACAGTTTCGCTGAACTAAAGTCTATGTACTTTTCACATGAATTAAGACCAGTGTTTAAGTCTTTCTAAATGAGTCATTCTTTTAATAGATGAATTTTAAAAAGCCAATCTAAGTTTATCATTTCAAAGAAAGATTTTCTATCATTAGTTATTTTCAAGTCTATGGAGACCGACATTGCCCATGAATTTAACAATCATTAGTTGCACCATAGCTAAAAATACCTGCATGTGATTAATAATTTCTTTGAGGGGGAAGGAGGACTTCACTTTCCTATAAAAAATGCCATGAGCAGGGCTGGGGATTTAGCTCAGTGGTACAGCGGCTGCCTGGTAAGCAAGAGGTCATGAGTTCGATTCCTGGTACCAGAAAAAAACCAATAAATAAATAAATAAATAAATAAAAATGCCATGAGTTAATTAAGGGCTTCTCAGCAAAAAATCTGAGTTGAAGACTGAGTGAAAGGGTAACTGTATGGGATGGGACTCTGCTTCCTTAAAGGTAACATTTTATTTGTTGCCTCTTGAAAGTATTTCTCAACTACTGTTTTTTAAAATAAGCTTGTTTCCTGGGTAAATATTTTCAAGTAGATAAGCTGAACAAGCAAAAAGTTCATGTATTCCATGGCTGAGGTTTTTTTCTTTCCCCGAAGACTAAAATTAGAAGCAAAGATATACTAATTCAAGATCCATCTGAATATTTTGTCTTTATTCTATAACTGAAAATGAAATATTAAAATAAGTGAAGGGGCTGGGGATTTAGCTCAGCGGTACAGCACCTGCCTGGCCAATGCAAGGTCGTGAGTTCGAATCCTGGTACCGGAAAAAAACCAAAACCAAAACAAAATAGAACAAAACAAAACAAAAAAGTAAAGAATGATCTCAACTGAATAGTTCCAGCCATTAGGAATGTAGCTCCAAAAATATAATTGGCTTTGCTTAACAAGACAATACCTGTCATAACACCCACACCCCTCTTTTCATAGGAGGGTCCCTTACCAGGGATGGTTAGCTTAAAACTCTATATAGAATGAGTCCAGTGACTGAACATTTGATGTCTTTATTGACATGTCTTTCTTCCCATATTATTGAGGAAACAACATGGAAGTGTGAGCAGGAAGTGTCCATTTGTGGACAGGAAATTGTGTAAAGGGGAACAGAAGATACAATTTATAGACTATGGCTCCTGGATCTCTCGGGCAAATATGTGACCAGGAAAGGCATTCTGGGAAAATATTTTTGAGATAGGTTAAGAAGGAAGATAAAATTTTGCCAATTGGGAGGACAATAGAGGGGATTTGTGCAATAAGAGAAGAAAATGACATCTTGGGGAATTTATAACAATTTGCAGTGTCGAAGAGTAGCCTGTTTTGAGGGAACAGTGAAAGATGAGTAGAAAAGGAGGCAAAAGGCAGATCACTGAAGGATATTTTATGTCAGGCCAAAAGTGCGTGTCTACATCTGGTGAGAAATGGGAAACTATTTTGATATTTTTAACAAGAGAGCTTCTGATTTTGTTTTCAAAAGGACATTCAGGAAGCAGAATGGGAGATATATGGAGAAAAGTAGAATCCAGGCATAAGGGGACTTAAACTTGGGCACGGGCGTGAGGAAAACAAGCTAGTGAAAAGATAATAGAGAGCAGGATTAAGCATGGTTCACAACATGTGGGAGGGATGGGGGAAGGAAAGATCTAGTACAAAATATAAGTTTTGATCTCAGTATCAAGGTAGATTACGGTAACACTAAGAACAGAGTAGGGAAAGAGGAAAAAGGTTTGAGAGAGACAAGTGCATTCTCTCTGACTGGAGTTGTTCTGATTGGGGAAGACATGTACTGAGAGATTCCCAGCAGACCCTTGGACATCCTGCACAGTAGAGAGATGGGGTCCTGCCCTGGTCACACGACTATGGAAGTGGACTGTTTGAGACATAGGGACAGCTGAGTTTTCACAGGGATAGTCTTAAGAGGGCTTGAGGTTAGAATGCTAAAGCAAACCACTATTTAAAAGCAGTGATTGAAATATTTTTGTCAGAGAGAAGTGAGAAAGGTTAGAGAAATAAGAGGTAAAGTGCAAAAATTTTAGAAGAATTAAAGGAAGGTAAGATTTCACAAAGTGGAAGTATTGAATATTTCAATTAAGGTGACACATTGAGTATAATGTGAACAGATACATATCTACCAGCAGTGGTGATGAGAGGCCCAAGATGATATTTTCTAGTGTTTTTAGTGGAGTGGTGGAAGCAGAAGTTAAATTGTAGTTGAATAGAGAGTGAGAGGAAAGAAAAGGAGATGCCATTATTTTATTTCAATTTTTTTTTTTTTTTTTTTTTTTTAGGTACCAGGGATCAAACTCAGGACCTTGAGCTTGCCAGGTAGGTGCTTGTGCCACTGAGCTGTATCCCCAGCCTGGCTGTTTTAAATTTGCTCAGATTAAAATGGAGAGAAAGACATGGATAGTAGCTCAAGAAAAACATAAAAAGTTCATAGTTTCAGCTTATGTTCATACCATGAGTGGAAGAGGTTGGAAACCTGTGAAATAAACAAAGATAGCACTCTACTACCAATACTAAATAGCTGCCATTATTGATGACATTATTTGAGAATATAGACAATGTGTTAGGTACTTCACATAAAGTATACTTTTTAAACTTTATGTGCAATGAGATCTCTAAAATTGTGAGTAGAAAAAATAGCCTGAAATGTATGGAAGATATAGAATTACAAAAAGAAAGTTGGTGACCAGTGAAAGTACAGAAATAAAAGGTAGAGCTGGAGCTCTGAGGACATCCTTTCATGATGATTGACATTCATTATGTGGAAATAGGACCTGTTTAATAATGGTACAGGTTATTGATATTTTCTTTTAGTTATTGAATACCGTTAAGCAAAGTTAAAATTTTGAATATGGATGTATATTTCATTATCTGGAAAAACTGAACTGAAATAATTAATTTATTTAAGTGGAATAATTTGGGCCTATGATACTTGAGATATGCAGTTATCTATTGTTGTTCGTGCTAAGGGAAGAAACCACTGATATAGATAAAATAACACAAAATCCAAGAAATCCAATATATCTATTGTGGGACTAAAATTTATGTTAGATATTACACATCAAATTTCTTTAGCCATAATCTTCTTGGAGTTAAAATTAATTTGTAATATGTAGTTATTTAGCAAGAAACCAGTAATGGATGCAAGGGGATTCCTGGGGATAATTTTAGGTGTCAACTTGAGGATACTACAGGAACCAGACAGGTGAGAAGAGCTGAAAGCTGAAATGTAACACAGTTCTAGGTGTTCAGTGGAAGGTGCTTCTGGTAGACAAATTATGGAATCAGAAAATCTGGCAATAGATATATACTCAGTGATCTTAGCAGGTAGTTTGCATTAAGGAATACAATAAAAAGTATTAAAGAATTTGTGAACTATAGAGTGTGTGAAAGGGCTCTCCATCAGAAATCCAGGAGACTAGCTGAGCAGGAAATATACAGGAACGCCATTAGAGGTGCAATTGCTTATGAAAGAGACATTGGTGGAACCAGACTATTGTAAGTCCATAATCCTACTTTCTCTGGGCAAATTAACATGTCAAGCACCAAAAACGAGGGGGCAAGGTAAGTTCAGAAGTCAAAGCTAAGAAGCTGTCCAAGGTCATAAGGCAAGAATGTAACTGACAGAGGTTTTACTCTGTGCTTCCTGCCCAGGACCAGAATATACCACGGCAAGGATAACAGTGAGGCAAGTGTGTTGCTCATGCCAAAGAACTGCTTCTTAAGAACAAAGACAAAAGAGCTCGGAGCAAGGGCTGAAAATGGTCAGGGGAAGCTGGATTGACTTTGTGCCTTCTGTGTGATGCCAGGATAGAAAGATGTTAAAGAAGTTAAGGCTGAGATTAAAATTTTATGTGCAAGTTAACAGATGTAGGTTAGTTAAGAATGGGTTTCTAAGTTTTAGGATCAGAGATAGAATAGATGTAAGATTAAATCAATACAAGCATTTAGCTTATGTGAAATTACTGATTACCTCCCAGTTGGGAAATTAACGTCCCTTCTTATACTACATGCAATTCTATGGTGGTTTAAGAAAAAGAATCTGACTTTTATAGTCCTCTACAAAATGACTTACTCACTTGTGCTGACTGTGTACCATACAATTACATAGTTTCTGAGCCTGCAGATAGATTGGTCTTCTATCACAATGGTAAGGAAATGGGTGCAGAGGGGTTTTTATGGGAGCTGTGGAGAGCTGAACGCAGTGCTCACGAGGCTGTGATGTCAGCAAGCCTGATTTGACGGCGGATGCTGTCAATTGTTCATCCAGTGTAGGGACAAAAAGGGTTTTGCAGGCATCATAATAGTGGTTAGATTAGTCTTGAGCTTCCGTTTTGGATTACTTTATTTTTAGATGCTTATATGTTTGTGTAGGGAACTAGAAAATGAAACATACATATGAAGGGATGTTGGTACCCAGAAGACTAGCAAATGGAACACACAGGTGAAGGGACATCAGTACCTGGAAAACATGTGAAGAAAGACTGAAAAGAACTTGAGTTTTCAAACATGATTTGTTTTAAAATATATTCTATCCTTTAATGTGTTTGCAAATTGTCAATAGTATATGGGTTTCCTTTTTTATCCCATATATATATATATATATATGGTATGTTTTCCTTTCTGTGAGATCATTTAAAAGAAAAGATAATTTATTAAAGCTTAAAATAAATTTATCAGGTATCTTTTAATGTCAAAAAGTTCATTTTTATTCAAATCCAAGTTTTCTGTCTTCTGCATTATACAAAATTCACATTCTCCTCTTCCATTAGAACTATTTGTCAGGGATTTTTAAATTCTTGATATAGTATACTCCAAATTCTGTCCAGTGTTACCAATAGAAATATCTATCCAACTTACGTGGAAAATGCATTATTCTGCTTTTCACATCGTATGCCTTTGCAGCTTAACCCTTTTGTTTCTTCATAATAGAAGTACAATTGATTTAGACCATTTGCAAATGCTAGCAACACAAGGCAGTATATGAATAGAAACTTCAAAATGTCCAGAAGCATTCTTCCCAGAGATATTTGCAGAGGTCCCAGGTGAGAATTTGCAGTAAACAGTGAGATCAGACGCAGGGAGCTGAAGATGTTTGCAATAGCAAATAAAGCTTCCGCCACCAGAGTGGGGTGCCACATGTCCCATGATTCTCGTGGGTTAAGAGCACTGTACTGGAGAAAACAGAGAGACAAAAGGAAAGTAGAACAAGCACATGCTATGAGTATGTTACATTCGGACCTAAGAGGATTGTTTCAGATCAATCCAGGACAATAATTTATTATTTGGAAGATGAGGTCCCAATATTAATCTACACAAAAGTAAAAGTTTACTAATTTATTACTTATGAACTTTGATCAAATGGCCTTTCAAGACTATACTTGTCATTTGCAGTTGTTGTTAACAAAAGCAGAAAGCTCTACTTCTACATGCATCCCATCACAATATTTTCGTTCTTTTTATCATTCATTAACATGGGAGACCTTAATCTGTGTTACTTAATTCTCCTTGGATCTAGTGGATAATATTTTTAATTCTCCCTGGGGAGAAAACACATAGAAACCTCTTGATTTTTTCAACTCTCGGGCTGTAGATTGACTGACAAAAACAATCAGGCTTGCATAGAAGAATTTTTTTTTTAAATTTTTAAACCCTGATAAATATTCTTGAACTTTCCCACAAATACCATGTCTTCAGCATAAAAGAATTAATAACTGAAGATATAGGGTAAAGTTAAGATGTTTATCTTGTTCATCATGACAAGTATCAGAGTGAGAGCTCATGAAACAAATCCCTAGGTATGATGCCATCTTTTCCTTCAAAGACCAAGGTCCCACTTTGCTTTCTTCCTTTACTTCTCTTTTAAACGCGAGCGCGCGCGCATACACACACACACACACACACACACACACACACACACACATTTAATTAGAGAACTACTCCCTGCTGATGGGTGATTTTACTTCTCTTTTTTACCTCATATGCAGTTTAAGACTATATCAAAATGTAAAAATTATGAAAATGGAAGTATCCTTACAGATGTAGTCGGCTAGGGATATAACAGCGGCACAGCGCCTGCCTGGCAAGCACAACGACCTGAGTTAGATTCCCGGTGCAGAAAACTTCTCGACAGACGCAATCATTTTCTTTAAAATTCCCACAACATTTAACACACCGTGCTGCAACAGTGTGTGCTTCAGGAACATTTTCTCCCACCCAGTATTCACAGACCGGTGATGCAGATAGGTGCAGCTAATTGTAATAAAAATGCTGTAAAAGATTAATACAAATTGCTGCGGGAATAGCGAAGAAGAGGTTAGTTCTGTCTAGTGCTTATAGGGTGAGGAATGGCGAGAATTTATACGTTTTCAAACCTTTCAGAGTTCTGCCAATCTAGGGGAGGAGCTGCACCTTATTCTAGATTTCACACCAGCCTGCAGCAGCTAGATGAAAAATCCCTTATCACCTTTGATAGCGCCCGGTTCTCCTATGGATCTACCGCACACACCGCCCTTCTTCATGAATTATCTGAGCTGGGACTCAAAAACTCGTAAGAAGAAATCTTACAAACATAAGAAGTTAAATTCTTTCCCAATATAATTATCCAAGTTGGGCTCAGCGTCTAGAACTTTGGTAATTACTGTGATGTGATGCTGCTTGAATATGTTCATGTTGCTCACAATCAGAAAAGCAGTGCTGGTATCTGGGTTAAATGAGGTTTGAAAGGCAGACAACCCTTGAAGGGGATTTCTGGGTACCTTAGACACATCTCCCTTGGAGCCATTTGCTTACATTCTCAGGATAGTAAATGTAGGGACCTTGGACTCCTCAGAGAGAATTTATTTACTTAAGGAACCTAAGGTCTTTTTTTTTCCTTCTTTCTCTTTCTCCTGGTCAAAGATAGACAGCTGGCTCAGTTGCACTACAAGAATTCTATGATTCATAATTTCTGATTGTGTCTCTAGCAGTACAAACCCCTGTGTGTGCAGGGTACATCTATCTCTCAACATGTACAGCAGGGAGAGACTGGAGCATGGGGAATCGACGCTAAGATTGCAATGCAGGTCAGATAACGTGGCTGTTCTCTGATCCAAAAATATTGCTTCTGGCCAGAGATAACTACAGATATAAATACTGCATAGTTATCTCTGATTTAACTTCTTTAAGCTTTGTTTTCAAAATTTTCTCCTGTTCATGTAAACATCTTCCTAGGCTTTCAAGGATAATCTTTGCTTTATGAAGCAATTTAACAATGCTTACAAAACATAATGTTCTTTGAATTTGTAGAGAATAACAGTAACTCATTAGTGGTTAAGTATCTTGTCTACACCTATTATTGGAAGTTAAAAATTTGGAATTGAAATCTTTTATTTTATTCAATTATCTTACATTGATTTATTAAATTGGGGCACATTTTTCTTTTCTTTTCTTTTTTTTTTTTTTTTGGTTTTTCTCCGGTACCGGGAACCGAACTCACGACTTTGCGCTTGCCAGGCAGGCGCTTTTGCCGCTGAGCTAAATCCCCAGCCCTGGGGCACATTTTTCATCGTGATGTTGTGCTCTGTCTCCTTAGTATCCTTTCCGGTTCCTCTTTCTCACCTGCCCTTGAGTGTTAAGTCTGCTTTGCAACCCCTTCTCACCCAACCAACTCTCGCTACAGGTTTTCCATGACTTTGGCTTTCAGTGATGACTCCTGGCTCTCCCTCTCTAGCAGGACTTCTCCTTTTACAGTCCTATCACATATTCTACTGTGTGGTCAACCTTTCCTCTTGGACAGTTCCTGGGTATTTCACGCTCACAGACTGAAAACGGAACTGCTCACCATTTTATCTTCAAACTGTTTCTTCATTTATGTCTTCTGATCTCAGGGAATGGTACCAAATCTTGCAACTCAGAATCTGCTGCTCATCCACAAATCTGTGTTCTGAAAACCCCAGTGCTTACACTCAGATTGTATGCATACAGTTACTTCTCTTCACCAGGGTCCTCCCCGTCTAACAACTGTTCCTTTTCCTTCTTCAGTTATTATGAGAGCTTCCTAACTGTTCTTCCCACCTTGATCCTTATGTCATCCATCATCTGTTTCTTGCACAATGATATTTTTGAGGAGAAAGTCAGGCTATGCAACATATAATTTCATATTGTTCAAATAATGCAATGTTATTGAGATGACATTTTGACTTCCTGTATGTCACAGGAAGTCTCTGGAATCTATGTTCTGACTTTCATTTAAACTTGAAGTGTCACTAGTCTCTAGCTATTCAACCTTTTAGTACTGGTGATTCCCAAACATAGCCACACATTTTTTCCAAAATAACTTTCTATGAAAACAGGGTCTTTTGTCTATCATGACATTGAACTCTAATTATTTCCATTCTTCAGTTGATACTCATTCATCAAATATATGAATGTATATTGAGTGCATAGTCCATGTCTTCAGGGAGCACAGCTTTGATGAATGAAGATACTGCTCATGCCGTGAACTTAGAATGTAGTGAAGACAGACGTTAATAAAATAATGCTCATATTTAATGCTCAAAATGCTTAATGTCCCAAGTAGTGCTTATATTTAATACTCATAAAATGATGCTCATATTTCCCTTTAGAAGTACAGTCTCATCAAAGATTAATGGACATGGGGACCCTGGTAACTAAAGCTGCAAAGCCCATGTTGTACAATAATTCCTGAAGAGGAAATTAAGAACTATTTCAAGCACCTCTGGTCTTTAAGTCCTATTTTCCTCTTTCACTCTATATGTTTTTCTGTCTATCCCTATCATAATATGGTTTTGTTCCAAACTCTCCTTTCTGTTCAGATGCTATGAGATAACTACTCCTTTAATCATTAGTATATCTATGAATTAGGACACATACTCTTGTATTACTAGTCAATTTCTTTTCAGGGATCTTTGTCTAATGAATATATGCTGGACATCTAGTAGAAATCTTTATGTATGACAGAAGCATCAAAAATACTCAAGGGAGAAGAATAATAGATATATCCCAAGCCTTGATTTTAGAGGAAGTGAATTGTTTATAGAAATGTAAGTAGCCTGACACAGCTGGAACACAAAGGATTTAGAGGCAGTGAAATAAACTGGAGAGAAGGCTTGAGCCAAACCATGAAGTCCTTGGCATGAGGATGGATTGAATAATAATATTGGATCATAATTTCCTTGAATGTAGGAAAGCATGTTACTGCATCTTTGTATGCTCTATAATCTATGACAACTATTCATTAAAACCAAACAATCAAAATGAGTAAAACTTAAGTGCATATAAAATGAAAATATTTATTACTCCTTTTCAGATCTGAAATATCTACTGAAGGCCCATGTGTTAAAGGGTTGATCTCCACCTTGGTGCTACTAGAAGCTGGTAGAAAATTTCAGGAGGGGTAATAGGAAGCTTTAAGTCATTAGGGCTCATGCCCCTTGAAGAGGACTGTGGGACTGTGAGGGAACCCCTTTTTTCCCCCTGCACTCTTTAACAAGATGTACTGCCTTGCAAAAGGCCACTAATCACAGACTGCAACTTCCAAATCAATGAATCAAAATAAGCATTTTCTTTTTGTAAGCTTTTATCTTGGGTGTTTGTTATAGTAATATAAACTGACAAACATATTTGTTATATGAAATTAAATAGAATACATATTAGTTTCAATGTGTGTTTACAAAGTGAAAACTTTTCTTTTTCTATAAATATGTTAGACAAGTAATGAATCATAACAGAAGGCACAGGGCTTTCTACTCTAGTAAATCCTTCTAGAATTCTATAGACTTCTTCCCTAGAACTAAAGAATTTTGGAAAATTCCACTCTTTGATGAGTAGACTACTGGTGCATCATTCCTAAGATGGAAACAACAGTATTGAGTCCAGTTTATCAACTAGGTAGAATTAATAAGCTAAAATGGCTTAGATGAATGATACTATAAAAATCTATCATGAGTCTTAAAAACAAATAATTTTGATTTTTGAAAATGTTTAAATTATACAGAGAAAATGTATAGAAATGTAGTCATTTTTGTCAAACAAATGGAGTAAATATGAATCAAGTTGTACATATGGAAAACGGGCTGGATAATATTTAGGAATAAACCCCAAAGAAGCTGAAGTAACATTTAAAATTGTGTTCCCAGGCATCAGCAAGCACCTAGTTAACACTTCATACATAGTGAGAAGATAAAATAACTGACAAACTTTCCTCTTCTGGATTAGGAAAAAATTTTTTTTTCTTAAAGTTAGTAAATTAGGAGCTAACAGAATGGACCCATCAAATAAGGGTAATCACTATGCCGGATCTATTTTAAAAGGTTTCCCACTTGAATATAACAATTACAAAATGGTTTCCATCTCCGTAGGATGTTGTGGTTTGTCTCTGGGTGTCTCCCCCAAAGCCTCGTGACGTCAAGGAGAGGGATTTTCAGAGGTGGCTAAACCTAGAATTTGTGATTGGCTCATTGTCTAGTGCTAGGATTGGGGGGTGTGAGCGCTACATCTGTCCTAGGGTGGGTAGCCTGGAAATAATATAAGGGAGGAAAAGAAACTTGCTCCTCCCATTTTTGCTCTTGTTGCTTTTGGTTTCTTCCTCTGCCCCACCTGCCATGAACTGTTGCTCCTCTTCCAGGCCACTATGCCTTGGAGTCAGTTGATTATGGACTCAAACCTCCACAAACTGTGAGCTACATAAACCTTTCCTTCCTTAATTCTGAGCATCAGGTATTTTGTGCCATCAGTGAGAGAAAAGTAACTAAGACATAGGATGACACATTTTTTTTTTCTGGTTCTATGACTTTTCCCAAATGCTGAAGACTGGATTTTGTTTCTGTGATGTACCCTTCTGTATCAAGTAGAATCTGTACAACCCCAGTGCAAATTCTATTTTAACCTTTTGGTAATGTAGTGTGAAGCATTGTAAATGAGCCTGCTATTTACCATGCAATAATATTATGATGATTTCATTGACATAATACTTCATATCTTTTGGAGTCCACCTTCTAAATTTTTCTCAAATGCCATTGTTTATCAGCATCCTCTCTATATACTGTTCCATATCAGAAACTCATCATCATTTAAGCCATTCTCTGTTTAAACATCATTAATGAATCTCTCCTATTCATGGGTAAAATTCAAATTTTATAGCAGGTGTAGAACATCTTTTGTATCCCTTCCTTACCCCTATTTCATAGATCACCTTTCAAATTGAACTCTGCTTTATATACTTTGACTTTTCCACATTGTGTCTTTTCTCTCAAATGTTTCTGCATTCATGAGCATGAGAGAGAACTAACTGCTCTGTCGTCTGTATGTTCCCATTACAGTACATCGTATTTCCATTATTGCCATTAGAGTAATCTTAGTATCCATGTTGCTAATTTGGCCCTTATAATAGATGATAGAATATTTTAATATCCATATTTGCCCTTCATCTACCTATGAGCTAGTTTTGAAAACAGGGCTTGCCTTTAAGGAAGACTTACATTCTCAGGAAATGAAACAAAAGCTGGTGATCTAATAAATGGTTACTGGATGAGTTAGGTTTTACGTCACATAACAGCTGTTTGGCTTAGTTATTCAAGATTCTACAGGAAAGAAATATGAGTCAACAAGTCAGCATGACATCACAGATGCTCTTGGAATGAGCTATTTTGATTATTATCTACACTTCACAGATAATAAAATCAAGGCAAGGCCCTCTTGACTAATGTGGAGGGCATTATGTTACATGAAATAAGCCAGATACAGAAAGATAAATATTGTATTATTACTCTTATATGTGGAAGCTAAAAAACAGATTTGCAAGTAGAAGAGAGTAGAATAGAAATTACTGGAGAAGGACACATGAACGATGAAAATGGAAGATGGAGTAACTTTTACTAAAATGCAGTGGCATAGAAGGAGTAAGTTCTAGAGCTCTACTGCACAGAAAGTGATTATAGTTTACAACTAAGTCTATTTTATGAAAAATTAGAAGAGAGGAGCTTTAATGCTCCAAACATCAAAAATTAATGTGTTGAGAAGTATATTTAGTGCTGGGGATTTAGCTCAGCGGCACAGCGCCTGCCTGGCAAGCACGAGGTCCTGAGTTTGATTCCCGGTACTGGAAAAAGAAAAAAAAGAAAAGTGTATTTACCCTGATTCTACCAATACACATCATATAACCATTAAAATATGGTATTGTAAGATCTCTCTCTCTCTCTCTCTCTCTCTCTCTATATATATATATATGTTATATATTTGCTAATAAAAAAGAACAAATTAAAATGTACAGTAAAAAAAAAAAAAACAAAGTGTCTTCGTTAGGTTAGTTACAGCAGCATTACCTAGGAGTTTATTAGAAATACATATTTGGGTCTAACTCTAATGCTTATAATTTAAAAACCAGGCTTCGGGGAGGGATTTGTGCTTTAACAAGCCCTCCTGGCAATTCTTATGTGTGTAGAAGTTTGAAAAAGACCACTATTGTCACATAGTCACAGAATTTTATCACAGCAAGGAGCCACTGAAACTCACAAATTTTAGTTTCCAGTAGAGAGAAATGTCCAAAATGACTTTATAGGTTTAGCTAAGGATCATTATAAAAAAAAGAGGAATTGGTCAGCTATGCATTTAGCAATAGACTGACGGTCTCCTACAGATATTCATAAACAACTTTGGATAATCTACCATCTTCTGCTGTCTTAAAACTGTTCAAGGTCATTAACATTCATATATATAGGTAAATTATATACCAATTATATGCATATATATCAAATTATATTTCTATTGTTTGTTTGGTACTGGGAATCAAACTCAGGGCCTTGTGCTTGGCAGGTAAGCTCTGTGCCACCGAGCTATGTCCTTAGCTTATATTTCCTTTCTCTTTTATTTTTGGGGGTACTGAGACCTGAACTCATGACCTCACACTTCCCAGGCAGGCACTGTGCCTTTGAGCTATATCCCCAGTGCTCCCAGCCTATACTTCTATTCTTAGTATAGCTTTCTTTCCATAAGATTGATAGGAATTGGTTTTCTTTAATATTTTGGTGAACATTGGATATATTTTAATTTTAAATAAATGCTGCAAACTATGACTTTCACAGCTCTGGGCAGCCTTGATATTATTTTACTTGAATATTGCACAAAGAGTTAGATCATTATGTTAAGAATTAGATTAAATGAACAAGAATTCACTTACATGTTAGCATTTTATAGTTCAGATCATTAAATTGCATGCATTCTTTATGAAGCACCAAATGAGGTACTTACTTTTTTTTTTACAAATTCAACAATCATTTTGAAGCAATTTTTTAAAGGAGAGGAGAAAAGGAAAAGAGGCAAAAAGAAAAACAGGAAAAGGAAGGAAATGATCCTTCAATTTGGAAAACAGTCCTTCAAAGAACAAAATAATCTCAAGTGTCATTGTAGAACAAAAATGTTTTATGTAAATTACGTGGTTCGGGGTAAGATTGATTCTGTACAAAGTGTGGGGGAGTAGTGGGTGTGTGAGATTTCAGGCACTGTCATGTTGAATGGGATAAAGACAAATTATATTCTGCTCTAATTGTATGAAACTATCAGTTTAAAGTGAAATAATAATTTTAGTGCTTTCAAAGAGTAATATTTTGATCAATCCAGGAAATTTTATCTATCCAATATAACTAACAAAAATAGAGTTTAGTCGACAAAATTTAAACAACACTTTAAGTAGAATTTCATCACAAGTAGAAAAGATTAGAATTAGAACAGCCATTGTGAAGAATTTTGATGCATTGTTGTATTTAGATATTGTATGATAACTCCAAAAAGTTTACTAAATCTTGGTTTGTACTTATAGGCAATATATTATGTATTTAATCTGTATGAATAAACACATGAGTTGATAAGTCACACACGAAGCTCTAAGTAAATTCATTAATTAAAATAAAAATATTTGAAGGTATAATACTAATGATCAGAAATCATGTTTTACCAAAATATAATATTTACCTTTACAAATGCAACTATCTTCAAAGATATTGTTGCTAAATATAAGGAGTTCATCACAAAATCCATCAGATTCCACCAATCATGGATGTAATCTTGAAGTCCACCATCCCACATCTGTTTAATTTCTCCCCATATAAAACCTGCAAGGATGGAAAGATTCATTGCATTATTTTCAATGAAATCACTGAAAATAGATATGTCACTTAATAATTACAGATTGTGAAGCTGCAAGAGGCCATGTATTTATATTGGATACAACATCTATTTTTATAAGTAATGATACTGAGCCCTGACATCTTTCAGACTTCTGGGACACAGACAATTCTAGAAGATTCTGTTAGGTCAGTTTTCCTCTTTTATTCACTTGAAATACTTATTAAAAAACAGTGTTTAATTAAACTGTAATTCCTCTATAATTTTTCTCATGAAAATGTCACAACATTTTCTGATAAATGAATACCCTGAAACATATTTTTCTTCCAAGTCTAAATGACTCAGACATTCATGAAAAGCAACATATTTAGCAAATAACTTGTTTTAGAAATTCATCAAGGTACCGTATTGTGCTTATTTAGTCGATTAGAACCTTCAGAGCTCTGATTGCAGTTTTAAGGAAAGGATGGTTACAACATTCACGATAACTTATTAAAATGTTATTTATCAAAAATAATTCAAAACTGTATCTAGAGAAAATACAAATCCCCTTTCTTTGTTATCATTACATTTAAATAGAAAATACTTCTTAAAAATTCTATGAAGGACATATAAAATATCACTGTAGATCATTATTTTATTTCCACAATCCTATTAAAACATATTACAGTCTTTTAAAGCTTAATAATGCGAAGTAAATTAAAGTATTTAGAATCAGGATACTAAAAGGATAAATATGGTATTATATCTATTAATATGAGCAAACAATGTGATATCTTCAGCATAACAGTAATTTGAAATATAAAACACCTTACAGGAAGTTTGATAACTGCTGAGAATGTAGAAAGTTGGAAATTGTACTGCCCCTACTAAAAGCAAGAAAAAGTCAGGTTACCTATACAAATCATAACTTTTCATGCATTCATAAGAAAGAAAAGATATCAAAGGGTTGAAACTTCAACGAAGAGCACGTTCCTACCAAAAGGACGGTTTCTGCGAACCTTTAACTTAGCACAGAGTCAAAAGACACTGGCACCATCCCAGAGAGTTAGAAGAACTCAGGGACTTTTATTAAACTTCAGATGGCTGAGTGAGAGCTGGCCCAAGAGAACAGAAGTCCCACTAGGCACAGAAGCAAAAGGAGCTTTCATCAGGTTCTATGTCAGAGACCCCATCCACTGGAAGACAAAAGAACCTGCTTCTGTAGGAAAGACACAAGGCCATACTCTGACTTATCCCTCATAAGGAGCAAAACATGGAAAGGCTTGAGAGAAACACTCTCAAGCTTTAGGTTTGCACCTGTACCATTAGAGCTCTCCTACCCCTTGAGGGATGGTAAGAACTCTTGTGAGCATATGACCTTCAAAGTCTGACTGACATGCAAAGCTCAGTATAGATCCCTCCTAACGCCCAGAAATATCCATCCTTAATGCCCAGACACAGGACTTCCTAGTCTGATCTTGCATCAAGGAAACAAAGAATCTTTCTCCCCTTATCCCTGTCCAGCCCCACAAAGAGCAGATAACAAGCAGAAGTTGACATGATCACATGTGGAGACCATTCCCTCTGAGGCATAGGTGCAAATTTAAGATCAAAAACTGTGGATGAAACAAGAAAAAGAAGAATCATCCTCTTTCCTACCAAAGGTGGAAGTGTGTAGCATGCTGACATTGAGGATAATTAGAACAAAACTCAAACTCAGCTCAACTCCTGACTATATTGCTTCAAACTCTTACAGCTATGCTTCAGTGGAAGAGGGATATACATTTTCAGGGATCATTTTTATGTACTTCTGTTGCTAGTGCTCCTCATAGATGGATAACTAACAGCACACTTCACTCATTCATGTGCGTATACATGAGGAAGCACACACATGGTGCAGTGTAAGGCACCATATTCAGTCAAAGCAAAGGATAAAAAAATATAGAAGGGAAAAAGGAAAATAAAACTGACATCAAACTTTTGGTCAAAAACTACTCACTACAGAGCAAAATGGAGTGACATCTTTTAAGTGCTGAAATTTAAAAAAATTCAGTACAGAAGTCTACATGCAACACAAATAGCTCTAATAATGCAGGTGAACTACATTCTTTTATTTTTCAGACAAACTCTTGGTATACTAACAGATTCATCTACAAGAAATATTAAAGGAATTTTTAGGCTAAAGGTATATGATACTAAAAAAAAGCCTCAGGGATATGAAAGGAAAGCAAGATGCATCTCCATAAAAATCATCAAAATGAAAAAAAATTAATTTAAATTTCTTTAGCTCTATAAAGCAAAACAGTAGCGATGGAGTGTGATGTGTAGCACATGTATGAGTTGAATGTGTGACATTAGCACAAAAGTTGAAAGGGGAATTTGCAGCCTCCTTAGCAAAATTCTAGTTCTTTGCAATAGTCAGTACGATTGATGAAAATATAGGTGGAATAATAAAGAAAACAGGGAGAAATTACAAGTGGCCAAAATCAGAACTATAAAAGGAACATCAATGTAGATCTTATAGACATACTAACACTATTAAGTGACTAGAGTTAATAATGTGATGCTGATTAAATTCCAGAAATTAAATGAAATGTGCATTTTTCCTTGGGATAAAAATGTCCAAGATCACTCAAGATGACATAGAATACCTAGTATGATCCTATACTAAAGTAAATGAGTTTATAGTTAATAAGCAACCAACAAAGAAAAATTCAGGCTCCATTGGCTTCATAGTTTGTTCTAAAAAGCATTTAAGAAGTAATAACGTTAATTCTACTTGAACTCTTAAAGTACCATAGGAAGAAACATTGAAGAGACAATCATGATTATGATTTTAAAAATCAGACAAAATGTTTGTAATCAGAGAAACCTACACATTATGAATGTACACAAAATTCTGAACAAATGTTAGTGAGTTAAACATGAAAATATAAAATGTTTTACAAATAAGATGATAATAAAACATAACCAAATGCTATATTGCCATGAAATATAAGGCTTTTGATAAAACTGAAAGGGAAAGTGTACTCCCAAAATCATTCCTAGAAGTTACCATCACTCTGACACCAAAATAAGATAAAGATCTAACAAAAAGGGACAGCTATAGGCATATCTCTTTAATAAATGTAGATGCAAAAATCCTCAACAAAGATGCTAGGAAATAGAATGCAATGAATCTTCAAAAAGTTTGTATATTGTGATTACACAGGTTTCATTCCATAGCACAAAGATGGTTTGGCATATGCAAACCTATAATTGTAAAACATCACATAAACAAGGACAAGGGCAAAAATCTCATGAGCATTTACATAGATGCAGAAAAAGCCTATGACAAAATCCACATCCTTTTATGATTAAAAAAAGACACTGAAGAAAATAGACATAGAAGGACCTTATCACAATACAATAAAAGACATTTATGACAACCTTATGGCCAACATCATCATAAATGGGGAGAAAACTGAAATCAGAAGAAAGTTAAGAACATCTACTATCACCACTCCTGTTCAACATAATATTCAAAAGAAAAGAAAATGCAATTAGACAAAAAAGTATGAGGGATATATACAGAAAAGGAAGAAGTCAAATTATCATTATTTGCAGACTATATGATCCTCTATGTAAAAGACCTCCAAAATAAACCAAAGGTCTCATAGAATTAAGTAGTAATTAAGTAGTATAGCAAATTAAATAGTATAGCAGGATGCAAAATCAACATGCAAAAATCAATAGCATTCCTGTATACTAAAAACAAACCCACTCAGAAAGAAATTAGGAGAAAGATACCATTCAAACTAGCAGCAAGAAAAATTAAATATTTGAAATTAACCTAACTAAGAAAGTGAAAGACCTCTACAGTGGAAACTGCAGTATTCTGAAAAAGGGAATTGAAGAGGACATCGGAAGATGGAAAGATATTGCCTGAGCCTGGATAGGCAGGGCCAAGATAGACCAAGTGGGAAACTTCCAAAATTCTCATATAGATTTAACAAGATCTCAATCAAAATTCCAACAGCATTCTTCATAGAATTGGAGAAAACAACCCTAACATTCATATGGAATAGGGAGATACCCAGAATATTTCAAAGCAATCTTGGGTAAAAAGAGAAAAGCAGGAAATATCACCACATAGGACCTGAAGTTATATTACAAAGTTACTATGAAAAAAAAAAAACAAACAGTATAGCACTGGTACAGAAACAGATATGGTGACCAATGAAAGAAATAAGCAATGCAGAACAGGCCCTAAGTATATTATACAATTTGATTTTGACCAAGGGGCCAAAAATGTATAGTGGACAAAAGATATAAATGGTGTTCAGAAAGCTGGCTGCTCACAAGCAGAAGACTGAATCTCTAACCGTATTCCTCACCATGTGTTAAACTAAATCAAAATGGATCAAAGAACTGAATGTCAAACCAGACACACTTAATCTTCTGTGAGACAAAATAAATAAAACTCTTGAAGATATAGGTATAGGCCAGGACTTTCTGAATAGAACTCCAGTTGCACAGGAAATAGTTCAAAAATGAACAGATAGGATCGTATCCAATGAATGGCTTCTGCATGCAAAAGAAACAACCAACAGATTGAAAAAACAGCCTGCAGAATGGGAAAAAATTTTTTTTGCCTGCAATTCCTCAGACAGAGGGCTTATATCTAAAAATACAAAGAACTGAAAAAAGTTATATCCCCAAAAATGAAAGACCCAATCAAATACAGGGGAGCAGAACAAATGGACAATTCACAGAAGTACAAAGGGCCAATAAATACGTAAAGAACTGCTCACAATTCCTCAGACAGAGGGCTTATATCTAAAAATACAAAGAACTGAAAAAAAGTTATATCCCCAAAAATGAAAGACCCAATCAAATACAGGCGAGCAGAACAAATGGACAATTCACAGAAGTACAAAGGGCCAATAAATACGTAAAGAACTGCTCAAGGTCACTGGCCATTAAAGAAGTGAAAATTATAACAAGATTATAACAAAATTATAAC